CAGGTATAGAAGGTAGCCTCTTCACAAAGTCTTTACGACGCTGTCATAACGTAATCGCTCTTGAGCAGGCGTGGATCGTTCCACGTGTAGGGGCTACGATCGAGAGGCGATAGGACCAGGACTAAATCGAGATAGGGCGACGCAGCTGCTTTGGGACGGACGTCTTCGCTTTGGGTATGAAAGAACAGAGAAATAAGATGGGACCTGGGACCGACGTCCACGTAGTTGTCAGTTAGAGTTGTGTCTGTATTCTAAGGACTAGGACAGACTCAGTCACTACAAGAAAAAGAAGTAGACGCAACAGCTCCCTATATAGGTACTTTCAAAAATAGGTCTACGACTAAGAAATCTGGCCCAGTGCAGCTAGAGACGCTCTACGTCTACCACCACCCTAACATCGCGATAATTCTCTCACTTAAAACAGACTTTCCTGCACGACTGGAGCTTCACGTTGGACATCGATAACGGTAAGTTCCTCCGGCCTCTCCGGGTCGGCTGCCAGATAAACCTGGCGCTTACCTCCCCCGCTCAGACCCATGGCGTTACTTTTAGAGACAACTCTCGCCTTTATCGTTCACCGTGTCAGTGTCGCTAGTCCTAGTGCTGGTCCTATTGTATTTATCATCCAATGTTGGTTCGCGTGACAAAATTATGCTAGTGTGCAACTATGTATCATGTACTTGTACATGTAGCAGTAAAAGACTCAAACTCATATTTCTATCTTGTTCGTAAGACTAGCAGCTCCGAACAACGAAAGAGGCCAGTCTCCGAACGAGGATCTTACGATTGACTTTGCCAGTCCCATTGTCCCTGGGTGTGCTTGTGCAAACTCCTTGATCGCCGAAAACGAACTCGTGCTCGCTGTGCTGGTCGTATTAGAGCTAGAGAATTTTGTAACCAGATGAATGCTCTCATGTATCAGCCTGTTCATGCTGGATGAATCCAAAAATTACGATTATCGACGTTCTCTAAACGATGAAATGACATTGACATTCCGAGTAAGGATGCGGTTAGACCATACTCGTCATTCTCATACTTTTACTTACTAGACCAATCGAAAGATATGAAGGAGAAGCAGAAGCTGGCAGTCTTAACGGAGGTTGCCTCTGCATCTGCACCTGCAAGCAAAGATGGATCTTCACCTGCAAAAACATTTGCATTGAATTCGCTCCTCCGAGACCGCTGCAAGGCTGATAAATGCTTGTCTAGCTTCTTGGATGGTGATGATGCGCCCGCTGATGCTGATGGTTTGTCAATGATGACTTTGTCCTCCTGGTGCGGCTTTTTGCCATCCTCTCCATCTTTGTGCTCCTTGCCAAAGATAACCGAGTCCTTGTGCTCTTTACTGCCTTCATGCCTAGTCTGAAGCTGCAGTTGTACGCTTTTTTTCAAAGCTGCCTTCTTACTTATTTTCTTCTCCTGTTTTTCATGTGATTTTGACAACATGGAATCGACATCATTGGAGATGCCAATACGCCGGAGCGCATTCTGTCTCGCTATGTTGCCACGAAGTTGAGCGGCTCGTCTATAGTTCGATGCTGAAAGCGCTGCAACACTGGTAAATGCACATCCTGTCGACGATGCTAGGAGAAGGAGCCATCTATTGGACGACCCGGCTAGGAACCGAGCAGGCCGCCTCATCGTGGGAGGACTTTCGTTTGGGGACGCGTCGCGTGTCCCCGTGTCCCTCACACCAGGACCAGTCTCAGTCATGTACTTTTACTGTTATAATTGTTTCGATTGGAAAATTGTATTATGTTGTAGAGCATCAAATCTGCTGAAGAATGCGTCTCTTTGTATCTCCTCAGCGTAAGCACGTAGAAGTTTTCTTTCTGGTTTTGTAAAGTCATCAAAGCTGCTTCAACTTCTCCTAGTGATGGGATGAGTTGTAGCTATTTATCGTGCCTCTTTTTCAATCGGTCCAGAAATACGTGTCGTCGGCTCCAGAACATTCTACTTACCCAAGAGCTGCGATGACTACAGTGGTCTTGCGAGGGCTCTTGGTACATCACCCGTTTTGTTACTCCTTTTTTCTCGATTACTACTTTAGACCTGAAATAAGCCCTAGTACGAAGGTCTTTTCCATTGTGCGTCAGTTTCAGAGATTCAGTTTTTTCATTATACGGCATTTTTTTTTTTGTAATCTATGTGTCTCTATTCCTGTTCGTCAGTCAGTTATCATTCAGCGTCAGTTCAGCGAAACAAATACATAGTCAGTGTCAGTCAGATCTTCAATACGTGAAAATTAGTGTCAGTGGTCTCAGTCAGTGTAAGTAAAATAACTGCTCGGTTTAGTCCGTTGGTAGAGGTAGTTGAAGGCTTCTCCTGAATGAGCCTCCATCGCCTATTACATTTACAATTGTAAGTAAAAATGACCAAAAAAGTGTACGAATTAGGTATTTGGATGGTAAGGGTTACTTAAAACAGATCTACCCTTTCTAGACCAACGCTCTCAGCGTCCCTCCTGCCTGTAGCCAGAATTTTTTCAATAGGTTAATTTTTCATTTGCGGCCCAGTAGAATAATAGGTGACTACAGATACCTATATAAATTTGCTGAGTTCTCAGATCGCAGCCCTCGTTTGATTTTATGAGTAGCCAGAGCTTAGATCTGAGCGCGAAGGATCCGCTAAGCCCATTATTTGATTCAACCAGCCCAAGCAGGCAAGGGGACCTTAGAATAGAAGTGTCCCAGCCGGAACACTTGTGCTCAATAAATCCACCATAGCTTGGTCTCACGTGGAGACCGTGGCGCACGTGGCGCGACTTTGCTCGGGCGCACAGTGTGAGCAGGTTCACTTTCTTTTAACGTGCTTTTTGGTTTTTCCAGGCAACGAAGCGGCAGAGGCGCGCTTCATCACCCCGGC